AGATGGTTACACTTACCAAAACTTTACTGAAGGTTTAACAGGTGTCTCTGTGTTATTAAATACATGTGTATTGAGAAAACATTCATTCAGCAGCTACAAACTCACAACTAACAACTACAATAATCCTTTATAACTCACAAATATCAAGGTATTCGTTTTTTCACTCACATCATTGCAATATAACGGAAATTCAGTGTTTCATGATATTATTTGAAATTTACCTGCTATGATTGAACGGGATGGCGGAAGGGAATCCACACAAAATCAGCAATACATTTTTCATATTATGTAAAAGGAAATTAAAATGCTTACATTACAAAGACTATAACTTACCAGGAATCCTTGGTGCTACATGAACACTGGTCGCTAAGATAGAAAATTGAAACATTAAGCCCATGTTTACATACTGCATGACAACAGTATGTTTCTTACACTTTGAATAACCATAACTTACATTACAAAGAATATAACTTACCAGGAACCCTTGGCGGAACATGAACACTGGTCTCTAAGATAGATAATTAAAACATCAATAAGCCCATTTGTGGTTATTAAACACATCCATAACAATGATGAGAAGGGACAGCATAAAAGGAGGCTAAAGAATTATGACACAAGACCCCTTTTGTGATGTTCCTTCTCATATATATATAAACCTTTTTCTTATTTTATATGATCATAACTGTTAACCAAAATACGCACGATTTTTACGGTACGTATTTTATGTATGGGTTGCTAACCATATATAATACTATTGTACACTTTTGGTATTTGAAAAGGACAAGATGAACACATTTGCAATACCTGCTCCTGCTTTCGTCAACTTTTCCCCCATTTCTACACATTGAATAGATAAATGAAGATGTTAACTGTTGTTCAAATGCATGTTTACATTATATAATCTCGTATTATAGTACACAAACTATCCAATCTCAATTCACAGTCCAGCAATTCACTACAGATACCACAAATTGCTCACCGTCCCGCTGAGACTTCATTTGTTCCATTTCTATGAATATAAAATAACTGTATAAGTCGCTGTTGCAA